GGAGTGGCTTCACAACAACTCCGTGACTGTTCTTGAATGGCCCAGCCAGAGCCCTGATTTAAACCCAATTGAGCATCTCTGGAAAGACCTGAAAATGGCTGTCCACCAAGGTTTACCATCCAACCTGACAGAACTGGAGAGGATCTGCAAGGAGGAATGGCAGAGGATCCCCAAATGCAGGTGTGAAAAACTTGTTGCATCATTCCCAAAAAGACTCATGGCTGTATTAGCTCCAAAGGGTGCTTCTACTAAATACTGAGCAAAGGGTCTGAATACTTATGACCATGTGATATTTCAGTTTTTCTTTGTTAATAAATCTGCTAAAATGTCAAAAATTCTGTGTTTTTCTGTCAATATGGGGTGCTGTGTGTACATTAATGAGGAAAAAAATGAAAAATGATTTTAGCATATGGCTGCAATATAACAAAGAGTGAAAAATTTAAGGGGGTCTGAATACTTTCCGTACCCACTGTAATTTGGAAGAAAGCAGTAAATAAATATTAAAGTGGTCATAACTAAATAGTGCTTTGATTCTAAATGTGCTCCCCCACGATGTGTCTGGAACGTCTGAGGCCATGCACCTGTTGTTGTTATAATGGGCCAGTGGTATAGTGGGTCCTGTTATGCTTAGGGCAGGGATTATCTGTTGGCACTTCTCTGCGTGGGTGCAGGCCAGGAAAAGGATGAGAGGAATTGGAAAGTGGTGGGGTGGGGGAGTGTAATGGAAAAAAGGAAGAGAAAAAGCTGAAATATTAAAGGCTACAAGATACAATATTTCTCACCCTGCCCAGTGTGTATGTGTGTTATGCAATGGAATGACTAACCTCTATAAACAGATGAAAGCAGATCTACACTTGATGATTAAACTCAATGTATTGTTCATCAAAAGGATGGTTGGTTGATATTATCTGCAACAATAAAGCCACTGGTGCTTTTTTTTTGGGAAGAAATTTACTTATTTAATTTTAATTTACTTCATTGTGTCTTCCACTGAATGTATTTACAGTACTAGATCATCATGGCAGTGGCTAGCAGCAGCTCCACAGAACCCCAGGGCAGTAGGTGATGATGTTTGATTGGGCTTCACACCAGTCGTTTTGAATTTAGTTTTGGCCTTTTAGCTGCGTCCCTCTTCTGCAGAGCGCTGGTCAGACTTGAGCTTCACGAATTCCTTGGCCACATCATCATTGTTGCGCTGGGAGAGGATGCGCAGGACAGTGAGACCTGTCTCATCCATGTGGATGCGTTTGCCCAGTGGCAACCAGCAGGCGACGCTGCCTTTGGAGGCCATGTCCTTCAGCTGCAGGACGGCCATGCCCACTGTGCGGTCCTCTCGGGCAAAGCAGTAGTCTTTCACACACACCTGCAGCTCATAGCACTCAGGACCCACCTCGTTACTCAGGGTGCTGCAACGGACAGGAGAGATGAGTTAACACATTGAGTAACAATGAGTAACACATTGAAATTTCCAAAATGACCTTTAACAGCATGGTTATTACTCACAAAGTGAAGGTTTCGTTGTATTTAGGAGCCCAGCTGTTGTTCTTGGACTTTGTGGCATATTTCCTCTTCTTGTCACTGAGGTGAGGGCCGATGATGTAGACCTCCACAAATGGCCGAAATATTCCCTGCGTCTGCCACCTCAGATCATTGGCAGCCACCACTGAGACAGAGAGAGAGAGAAAGAGAGGAGGTGGAAGGAAATGATTGGGAAGGTGTGGTTGAGCGAAAGAGAGATTCATGTGGAGGAAGTGTATGAAATGTGGTTGTGAGTGTGAGTGAACAGAAAATTCAGAGCAAGAAAACACCGGCTCGCCCTCTGGTCTCATATTCACTTTTGACCGAGAAGGACTGGGATTTTATTTTAATGCAAACTCAAATTTTTCTTTGGCAGCTGAAAAGCAGTTGGCCATTTATGCTGGTATCCTACAGGGTTTTACATAGTGTGGCTTCCTACTATGTTTCTGCCTTTGACACTAGAACATAAAGCTTCTTTTTTCTGTCGGACTGTCCATTGTCTCAGCAATCATTTAGGCTTTAATCTCTTTTGCAAAATAGGTACAACTGACTGAATAAAGTCAGAAAATGTTTACTTAAATGTAGAGAGAGGTTAAATATGCCTCCATGTAATCTGCTATCTCTTCATAAAAATTATTATAAAGAAGGTTCTTGGCTGTTACTGAAGTTGATTTAAAAACAAGAACTTCACCTTCTTTTTCATCTAATTTTGGTTGCATTGATCTTTTGTGCAATGAAGAAGAACTTTATGGTTTTAATTTTATGTGTAAATTAACTAAAATAGTACTGCATATCTTAAGCCAACTCATTAATAACTGGTCAAATTTAAACAAAAATACAATTCTGCTTTTAAGCATCAAGGCCCCCTTTCTAGCTTTTTCCATGGATTTCAAGCACATGACATGACCTTTGAAAATGGAGTTTGTTCAGCTGCCATGGAGATGGATCTGTTGGCATGTGTGAATCAGTAGCTAATATTTCATCCATAGAACATTTAGGACAATCTCTATCATAACTCAGCAAAATCTGGAAGCTAATGGAAGCCATATAATATCATTGAAAGCCAAGAAAACCCCAGTAAGTGGACCTAGAGTTGGGATTGTTTAGTCAAACTATTATTTGCAGTGCTCTGCATACTCATCCATTGTTCAGTTGCTGCATATGAAAATGAAAAGGTAAAAAAAAAACAACCTTTTTCATTACCTTTCACTGTGACCTTGTGCTCTCCAGTGTTAGGGTGAGTGAAAATCTCCACATGGATGGACACTTCTCCGACGGCGTCGTCCACTCCAGAGCCTGACACAACAGACAGACAGTGAAGAAGGGTGCTATTGATACCTTTGAATGTGAGACCTTGAACACCTTGTGCCCCGATCACAGACCAGTCACCAACACAAGCCACTGTGCCCTGGTATAAAAATGAGGTTACAGACAAAGTCCATTTCAATTTTGCACATTTAAAGTTGAAATGAATTTGTCTACAATATTGTGGATATTAGGCAGAATACTGATTACCAAAACATTTTGAAAATAATCACTGTGTAACAGGTGGATTTAAAATACAGCAGTGATCTGTTTGTGCAGATGTTGGTGGTCTGGAAATGGACAGTCAGAGAAAGCTACTGTGAGTGGGCATAATTGTTTTAATATAGGCAGCACTGTCATTCTTTCTCATGAAATGTGATACATTAACTGATGAGTCCTGTTGGAATGGTGAAGCATTTCCAAACAATGCAACACAACAACAGTCCAGTGGCTAGTGTTGCACTGATCTGAAATAACATTATTTCCTTCAGCAATCCTTCTGCATTGTCATTAGACTCTGACTGAATAGCATTTATACAGATTCAGCATTCGAGAGGTAACAATTTGGATCCAGTGAAAACAGTGTGCCCACTCACAGATTCATTGTGTCTGTACAGATGCAGGGTGGTTGGTAAGAGGCAGAAAAGAAGTAAGGAGAGAAGCCGACAGTGTGGTTCCCCCTGACATTCGTAGATCAAGTCAAGACATGCTCAGATGGATCTACTCAGGTGGACACACCCATTCCTTGGTAAAGAATTTTACCCAAGCATGGTAAGAGGAATGACAAGAAAGGGGAATGAGCTCACAGGAGAGAAAAGCAGTTCAACCTCTCAGATGTTGGTGAAGAATGACACTACTGAGACCCAGCTCGCTAAAGAAAACTGCTGTGTGAAGGACCACGAGTCTGGAGAACTCAACTTTTATTTGTGATATACCTAGGAGTGCAGATGGCTCAAGTCTGAGGTTCATCTTTGAATTTAAACCGCAAAGAGCAAAACTATTGCTCCATGTGTGCATCCTCCACCCAAAATGCCTCAGCTAAGGAGAAGATGACCACCTGTTTAGATTGGTCTAGTCAGGCACTAAGCCTTGCCTGTGAGGGAAATGGCGGACAAATCTTTCCTCTGGCTCTCTGTGCAGCATGTAAACAGGTGGTTTAAGTCCAGATACAATTCCAGAAGGATGTGGTGACAGATGGACATTAATTTTCAATGTTTTAATTAGTGTCTTCACTCAGTGAACGGTATCTTTGTGGCACCAACCAGCAGCCTGTGTGCGTTTTCAGCCATCTACCCACTGAACAAGGTGTCTGTGGGAGTTAGACGGCAGTGTTCCTGGCATGCAGCTCTCAGCATCTCTCCAGAGAGTATTATGAGTTTATTGGTCTCACTGCCAACAGGACCAAAGAGAGCAGCAGTCATCCAGCTGGCCTTATCTGCTCTGTGGAAGACGTCCATAAAAGATTAGAAAGAAAACTTTGCTGGCTGGAAAGCAGGGACACGTTGCCAAGAAAATGCAAGCTTTTTCTTATTCAACAAACAGCAATCAGAGATACATATTTTGCACCATATTGCAAATTTTCATCAGAATAGATATTAAATCTAAATCAAACAAATTAAATCTTGTGCTGTCATTGTGCCAAAACATCACCTGAGTTCTGCATAATCACAAGTGGCCCTTGATTATTTTTGTTGCAAATAATACAGCACAGAGCCAGGGGTGCATGAGAATGCCAGTTCAAAGTCCTCTTTAAGCAGCAGCTGAGTTTATAGGAACAGATTCCATTGGGCTTTGTTCATTCAACTGCTGCTGCTGAGTCATCTACTGTACTCTAACATGGTTGGAAAAACTATCCAGTCAAAGATGTGCAACAGCTAGCGGAAAGCTAAAGACACTATGTTTCTATTTATATACACCTCCACCTCCTCTAGAAGCAAAGAAAGACCATAATAATTTCTACTGTACATAAAAGTGAATTATGAAATTTAACCACTACTGAAAACCTCTTTTTTGAGTTTTACAGTAGTTTTTCTCTCTCTTTTTTTTTTTAAATTATTTTTATTTATTTTTTTTTTTTTATTGAAACAAAGTAACACATTAACAAAATAAGTCCGGCCATAGGATGCATGACATTACAAAAAGATGTAGAGTGTTTTACAAGATTGTGGTGTATGATGCTGTGAAGTGTGGGTATTTCCAACTTGAGCAGTCTATGAAGGGCAAGAAAGGGAGAAGGAGAGAAAAAATAAATAAATGACAACAACGATAACAGTACTACCAATAAAAGCAGCTTGTTATAGTTTTTGAGGTTGGTGGGAATGTGCGTGGCCTCAACCCCGATTGACTAACTCCAGCATACAGAGCATTACAGTAATCCATACGAGATGTAATAAACGCATGGATCACTGTCTCAAAATGCTGCCGTGACAAAAAGGGTTTTACTTTCACTAACTGCCTTAAATAGAAAAAAACAGATTTTACGATCGCATTTATCTGGCTCTTCATTTTCAAATCGGAGTCTATTTTATCAGTGCCCCACATAGTGCCCCAAGAAACCTAAGTCTACAGGAGGAGGCTCACCAGACATATTCTGGCTAAATACTATAACCTCAGTTTTAGCATCATTTAACTTTAAACAATTTAACGACATCCAGACCTTAATATCGGCAAGACATGCTAAAAGCGGTTGTATTGAGTAAGTGTCCTTACTCAGTGGCATAATAATCTGGACCTCGTCAGCATAACAATGAAAAGACACCCCATGTTTCTAAAAACAGAACCAAGGGGAAGTAAATACAATGAAAAAAGCAAAGGCCCCAAAATGGAGCCCTGTGGGACCCCAGATAAAATAGGGGTTGTCAAAGATTCAACATCTGCCAACCCGACAGACACCGATCTACCCGATATGATTTAAACCATGCTAGGGCAGCACTACAAATGTCCACTAAGTCAGTCTCGCCTCCATGCACAGCTTGGGCTCTGGAACCACAATCCTCGAGAGAGAGGCTGGACTCTCCATTTCTCTGGAGTTGCCCGGTGGTGAGAGGTGGCAGGCTGGTGCGAGCTTGCTTATAGCCCCCCAGCTTAGCCGCCATGTGTTGGAGTTTACCCCGGTGAACGAGAGGGTCATTCCCCTGCGCCTTTGGAGATAGGTCTCTCACTGTCGTGATGTAGAATACCTGGCCTTCTTGGAGTATCTGCGAGGGGTGCTGGAAAGCGCCCTGACTGGGGACTTTGTTGTTCTACTGGGGGACTTCAACACTCACGTGGGCAACAACAGTGACACTTGGAGGGGCGGGATTGGGAGAAATGCCCCCCCCCCATCTAAACTGAGTGGTGTTCTGTTATTGGACTTCTGTGCTAGTCACAGTTTGTCCATAACAAACACTATGTTCAAGCATAAGCGTGGCAGTGCCACATGCACTGGTGGACACCCTAGGCCAGAGGTCGATGATCAACTTTGTGGTTGTTTCATCTGACCTCTGGCTGTATGTCTTGGACACTCGGGTGAAGAGGGGGCGGAGCTGTCAACTGATCACCACCTGGTTGTTAGTTGGATCTGATGGCGGGGGAGGAAGCTGGACAGACTTGGCATACCCAAATGTACTGTGAGGGTCTATTGGGAACATTTGGCAGAACCCCCTGTCGGGAATATCTTTATCTCCCACCTCCGGCAGAGCTTCGACTAGATCTTGAGGGAGGTTAGAGACATTGAGTCCGAATGGACCATGTTCTCCACCTCCTTTGCCGATGTGACCGTTC